GCACCCGGAGGCGGCAGATTATCGTGGAGTGTGCGCCCGGAGGCGGCGGATTATCGTGGAGTGCGCGTCCGGAGGCGGCGGATTATCGTAGAGTGCGCGCCCGGAGGCGGCGGATTTCTTGCAGAGGGAGCACTAGATCCCTTGCAGTTCGTGACCATTGGGGGTTTCAGCAGCGTCTGTGCCAAATCCCCCAAGTCGGCGCTTCTGGGTATAGGGCTTATAGGGCTTACTTTCGGGTGCAAGGGTTCTGGGAGTCTGGTTTTGTGATTCAAAAAACATACGTCGGAAGTCATCTGAATCCCCTCGTCTGGGGTCTGAGATCCTGCGTCTGCGCACCCGTGAGCTCTGCAGCCTAAGCCCAAAAAAAAATCGCGAAAGAAAGCCCGGTTTAGGCTTTAGGGGTTTAGGGTTTAGGGGTAGGGGTTAGGGTTCCGATTCAAGCCTAAACCCCAAGCCCTAAACCCTTCAAGCCCAGCCCAAACTGCACGAAGGGGGGTGTCCCTGAGGAGAATGAGGTCGCCTTTGCGGAACTCGGCATTCCTCGGATCTGAGTGGGTGGAGAGTTGAGCTCTGGCACCTGCGGTTGATCATATAAATCCTGCATTACCTTCAGGACCCTAAACTATGGGAATTATGGTATATTCCTTACTATGGGTACTGCAGGATTTATATCATCAACCGTAGGTTTAAGGTTTAGGGCTCACCTGTAGAGCCCCCACCTACCCTCTGATCAACCCTAAAAAAGCCACTATACTGGACCAGAAGAGCTCCATTAAAGGGGGGGGGGGTTCTGGCACGGTTTTGGGTTTTTGGGCTTTGGAGTTTAGGCTTATGGGTAAGAGGTATCCGTAAGAGAAAGACAGCCCTGAAATACTAAGCCCTTCACACACCGCACTCATGCCTACGGCGAAAAGCAGTGGAGACAAGACAAGTGGCATGTCACACCATCCTTCTGCTCCGCCGAAATAGAAGAAACCCAAGCACTAGCCCCTAGCCAGTGGCTCAATCATACTTGCCTTATCCCTCGGAGATAGGACTAGGGGGAACCTTGGGGACATAGACCCTCTCAATAAGGTCCCTTTTTGAGAGAACCATAAGTGGGGTGAGGAAGGGCCCCCTTTACGGGGTCTCCCTAATAACCCTAGACCCTAAACCCCCTAAACTTCAAGGGGTCTCCCTAATAACCCTAAACCCGAAACTTCAAGGGAATCTCATGATTGATCTTCCTGGTGTTCACCCTAAACCCTAAACCCTTCATTGCAAGCCTCAAGCAGGGGAGGATCGCTGAACCCCCCGGCATCCCACAAGCCGAAAGCCTTCCCCAAAACCCCCGCGTTTGGGTTTTTAATGTTTTTAGGGTTCTCAGATGTTTAGGGTGTAGGGTTTAGGGTTTAGGGTTTAGGGTTTAGGGCTTTGAAGGTTTAGGGTCTAGGGCCTAGGGCTTTCTGGGGCTAAGGCTTTAGGGCTCAGGGTTGAAGAGACTCCTGGAACCCTACGGAAAGCCTATCTAGAACCTTCAGAGAAGCCGAATGAACAACCCTCCGACAAACAGCTTCGGGCCTTGGGGGAGTCATTTTGAAGAAAACTCTTTAGCGACATCTCCAAGAGACATGAACCTGAAAGCGATATATAGAGGTTAGGGTTTGGGGTTTTGGGTTCAGGGTTTAGGAAGTCGCGAACCTTCTAGCTGCCAAAAAGAACACATTCAAGCCGAAACCCTGCGCCCGGCACCCTTAAGTAGCATCGATTTGGGGAAGGGTTTGGTTCGGGGTTTAGGGGGGATTTCGGTTTAGGGGACCACAGGCAAGATGTGAGGATCGAAGCAGCTCGTGGTCCAATTTGGCGGAGCTCTCTGCGACAAGTATCCCAAAGCCAAATCCCCTGCATCCCAAACACCACAATCGTTGACTTGCATGTCTAAACACCCAACCAACCGCACCTTTACCTCACGGAACAAAAGCCATAATAACATAGATTGACTAACGGTTAAGAAGATGGGCACCGTTGGCAGCAGTTTGGCCGGGATGCCGGTGAACCAGAACGACGTCTCGAAAGAGCCGATCCCACAGGGATTCCTACGGCAAGGCTTGTTTCGGGCTTCGGCTTCAAGATTTTAGGGCTTGGGAAATGGGCCAATAACGTGACGGCTCTTGTTCTGCCAGGTTCTTCAAGCCTTACACCCTCAACCCTAAAACTTAAAACGTCCGCAACCTGAACCATAAACACTAAGCCTTTTTGATCGACTGAGACGACACCTCAATCACAAGAACCATGGCAAAAACCCTGAAGGCCCGAACCCTGGTTCCTGAACCATGAACCCAAAAGAAACCGCAAGCCTAAACACTGTGCTGAAATCCCCAACAAAACCTATAAAAAAAAATACATTTCAATAGCTAAACCCTAAAATCAAACGGGTTTGGAGCAATTTTCATGGCCTTGGACTTTGGGGGATCATGCCACGGCTTCTCAGAGCGCTGTTCAAGGGCTTAGGACCCAGATTCAGGATCTTGGGTTTGGAGTTTAGGGTTGAAGGTTTGGGGTTTTGGGTCTGGGGTTTAGGGGAGTCTTGGGGTTGGAGTTTAGGGCTTAAGGTTTGGGGTTTAGGGCTTTGGGCCTAGGGTTTAGGGGGTCTTGGGTTTGGGGTTTGGGGTTCCAGGTGTTTTTTACGCTGCACCCTGTCAATGGCTTGACTCTTCTAAGCTCGAAAGCAGACAGATGAGAGAAGCAGTAACGACCAAAGCTACACACACACACACACACAGAGACAAGATCGGGACTAACAAGAACACCAGAATCTAGAACCGCTGCCTCCTAAACCCAAACCCTAAACCCCAACACCCAAGCGACAATTGACAACCAAAATCCATTCCTGAAGTGCCTTACACGCAAAACCACTGATAGAACCCGGATAGAATCCACAAAGAGCGTATATACATATGTAGATATACATACATATGTATATGCATACAAGAAGTTTCAATTGCTAATTTACTTATTTACTCACTGACTTATACATACAACAAACTGAAACCTGAACCCTAAACCTTGAACCCTGAACCCTAAACGCCAAAACCTTGAACCCAAAACCCTGAACCCTAAACCCGGAACCCTAAACCTGAACCCTAAACCCTAAACCCTAAACGCCTGAACCCTGAACCCTAACCGCCTGAACCCGGAACGCCTAAACCCTGAACCCTAAACCCTAAACCCCAAACCCTGAACCCTAAACCCTAAGCCCTAAACCCTGAACCCTAAACCCTGAACCCTGAACACTAATCCCTAAGCCCTAAACCCTGAACCCTGAACCCTAATCCCTAAGCCCTAAACCCTGAACCCTGAACGCTAATCCCTAAACCCTAAACCTGAACCCTAAACGCCTGAACCCTGAGACCAAAGCGAAGCAGAGGAGTAGGAGGTGCCTGCGGGTTCAGGGTGGGCGTCATGCTCCGACCCTCGACCCAGTAAATCCACATCCACCGATCCTCAGACCGAGCTCTTTTGGCTTTGGGGGTTGTTGGGTTTAGGGTTTAGGGTTTTTGGGTTTAGGGTTTAGGGTTTTTGGGTTTAGGGTTTAGGGATGTTAAGGGTTTAGGGTTTAGGGTTTTTGGGTTTAGGGTTTTGGGTTTAGGGATTTAAGATTAAGGATCCATCGATGCAATGAAGGAGTTCATTTAGGGTGTAGGACCTTAGGATCCGCCGATCCTGCGGAGGAGTTCCTTCTTGGGGGCTTCGGAGCTCGTGGGTTTTGACCAGAAGGGCCTTTAGAAGCGCCGTGATCAAGGGTTTCTGCGAAAGCCCAAATCCCAAAACAGTCCCCTTTGGCCAGAGACCTTCATCCCTAGAGCTTCAGTTGCTTTGGGTCCTCTGGGTTGTGTGGGATTGGTAATGGGTAGGAACCTGATCCTTTCCTCTAATCCCAAAATATGGGGATCCATATGAAGCACCCTAACAAGGACGCCAGGCTTTTTCATCAGGCTCCCACATGAGGGTTGCGCAAGGTCGTTCTACTTCTCTGCGGGTGCTTGGGGTATCGAGGGTTCTTGTTGAGTTGTGTGGGGCTTGGGGCCTCAAGGGTTCTAGTCCTTAGAGATTAGGGCTTGGGATTTTGGCATTGTTTGCGGGCTTATTTTGCCGGGAAAGTCTCCGGTGAAGATTATCTCCCATTGCGCTGGGGTTGCGGATGTTTGGTGCAGGGGGCTCTATCATTGCACAAGTTGCTCAAGAAGTCACACCTTGACTGGCTAAGAGTGTTTAAGGTCGCCGGGGGCCCACTATCTACGTCTGGCTCAGCAGACGTATATGGGGGCTTCCGAAAATAGAAGACCCTAATATAGTACCCTAAATAGTAGGACCATGATTGTAAGGACCCCCAAATAAGGTACCCTAATTTTCGGAAAGTCCCATCTGGAAGCCCGGAGACCCCCAGGTTATCTTCTTGCATGGTCCAAAAACCTGGTGTGTTTTAGGCTGGGGGGCCTCCTCTGGTGTACGTGGGCTGCGATGGATCGAACTTCACGTACGTCTACCCATAGGCCCCAAAGTAGTTCCTTTTTATGGTTTATATTTAGAAACCTATAAGGTCATCCCAAAAAGGAACTACTTAGGGGCCTATGGGTAGAGCCTACAAGATCATGAAGGCGGTCGAGGGCCAGAGCTGGCGAGGGCCTCCCTGCGAAGAAAGGCTGGGTTCCCAAGGAGTCTCATGCCTCGAAGGGTAGGCTAATATTGTTATAGTAGTATTTTCGTCGTAGTAGTCCTAGTAATAGTAGTAGTCGTCGTAGTCATAGTAGCAGCAGCAGTAGCAGTAGCAGTAGTAGTAGTAGTAGTAGCAGTAGCAGCAGGAGGAGAAGAAGCAGGGGTATCGTCAGCAATAGTAGTCCGCGAAGAGAAAAGCTGCAGGAGTAGGAGCACACACTACGGCATCCGGGAGCCAGAGGAAGAGCAGGCGGAAAGGATTTTCGCAACGATTCAGGGCTGTCTCCTGCCTCTCAGTGCTTCCCTCAAGCCCTTGATGCCCAAACCATTGAGACGGTGCGATACACGCTTCTGGCTGCCAGCAAGCACAGGAAGAACTGCACAACCGCGTAGACATTCCGGCCGCCGAAATCTATCAAATACCGAGCCACCACTGGGCCCAAGAAGCGGGTGATGCAAGTGCCAGCCGTGCTATGCTTACGGTACATTGCGATGTCAAAGCTTGTACCTTTGGTTGCTGCCCGGCAGGCCCATCCCTCACCTATGCCGTTTGCAACGCTGGCCCCACCATAGACGATGACATCAGCAAGCAGCAGGCTAGCAGCGCCGAGGTGAAGGTCGAAGAAGAGAATGGCACCCCATGCGCCCAGGCCGGCCATCATCAAAAAAATGAAAGGCTCATCCACAAGCTTCCAGGACATGAGAAGGGCGGAGAAGCATGTCATGAAGAGGCTGCCACAAGCAATGACCGTGAAGGAGGCTCCACTGAACTCAGGGCTCCAGCCGTAGGAAACCTTTTAGAGTTTAGGGTTTTGTGTTTAGGGCTTGGGGATTAGGGTTCTGTGTTTAGGGCTTAGGGTTTAGGGTTTTGGGTTTAAGGTTTTTTCTCAGAGGCCGAGGAATGAAGAGTTAGGACATTGCATGACTTTAGGATTACTACATTGCTAAAATGGTCAGTGATTACTGTAGGATAGTAGTGCCTTGGGGAGTACGATTTCTTCCCCAAAAATAAGGAGGGCCAAGGAAAACAACCCTGCCTCTAAGAGCATTATGGTGGCCACCTCTATTGCGGAGATGGAGAAGCATCGCTCATAGGCATAGTACACCATGTTCCTCGAGCACTTGTCGGAACGCTGGCTACACTCAAGGGACTGCTGAGAAAGTTAGAACTACGGATACGGGAGCGGGAGACAGCGTCATGGAGGTGGAGCTCATTGCTTTATGATAAACCCTGTGACTGCTGGGTTACGGAAGGCAGGCCTTTATCTTGAGAAATCTCAGCCTAAGCCCTAAACTCTAAACCGGAAAGTGCTGTCGAGATGCCACACGATTTGCTCACGTGCTTCTTCGCTCCAGCTCTCGGGCTCAACATCCTTGCAGGGTTTAGGGTTTAGGGTTTAGGGTTTAGGGTTTTGAACCCCAATACAATTTGTTCACAATCTTGCGTTAGCACATTATTGCTCAGTGTTACCAACTTTATGAGTAGTACTAGTACTACTAGTGCTCTTGGTTGGTATTTGTAGAACACCAGAAACCCGACATCATGGGGCCCGGGGGAGGTTCCTTATTGGATGTCCTTTGCATTGCACTTGTCCTCACTCGCCTGAGGACTCATATCCTGAGGACTCGGATCCGGAATTTGAGTGGGAAGGATGGCGGCGACTGTCACTAACTCAGCGGCCTGGACAAAGAACATGCCCATGTATACCCAGCTCATCATGCTGATTGGAGACACTGCGTCACTGGCGTAGCTTCCCCGAACGAAGCGGCTCAGCGCGGCAAAGAAAATCGGACCCGCGATGAGGCCGCAGTTTTTGGAACACTGGGTCAGCATCGACCAAAACGTCTTGTCATCGTGGGGAGTAACCAGATTCCACATGGTGCACTGCGGAATCATGATCATACCACCAAGCACATTGGCCACAAAAATCAGGAAGACCACAAGCCAAAAAACCATGCGCTTGGCCTCTACATTCCATCCGATGCAGGACTGGATGACCAAAGCAATGGCCGGCATGAAACACACATTAAGTCCGTAGCAGAAGACAAAGACCTTGCGAGCATGGCGTTGGTCCCAGTCCTGTTCGTTGGTGAATCTCTGCCCAGCCAAGGTTCCGATGAGTGCACCCACTGGCATGATCCCGATCATTACTCCGCTTGCGGTGGCGGACTCTCCCATAGCCAGCGCGTAATCCAGCGAAATAGGTATCGATAACGACTTGGTGACATACGGCACAAACCAGCCAATCAAGAAGCCAAGCTGGAGCAGAGTTGAGTTGCTGCCATCCCTCCTTGCTAAGAGCGGCTTCCCTCCTGCTCCCACGAAGAGCTCATGGATCAGCGCCAAGCAAAAAAAGAGAAGTATGCCCACCAGCACGGCGGTGTTGATTCTCACCTCGACCTGTGAGAAACTGTCAGGCCGGAAGGTGTGCGTCAAAGGCCCTTCGCTAACAATGCGGGCGTTGACCTGCAGAAGGATGGTGCTCACATCCTCTGCAGACGAGAATGCCATGTATAGGGACACGGCATATGGAAAGGGTTCGGAAGAAGAGGAGATACGCAAGCCTAGGACTCGACGAGCGACTTGCTGCAGAATTCACAGAGAATCTCAGGCAAAGCTTGAATGGATTATCGTAAGTTGAAAGTTGGAGCATCCCATTGATGCTTTAGCCTCAACGATTGTCCATGTTAGTCCTTTACGACCGTTCTGCTATGATGCAACTACCTGAACCTCTCCTTGCGAACGTAAAAAAACTCCACTATCCCCAAATCCTCCACTGGCGAGACCTCTGCAAAACCCAACCTTAAACCCTACACCCTGAACCCTAAGCCTCTAAACCAAAAACCAAAGGCAAGAAGCCAGAGATGCTCCAAAAAAAACCCTACACCACCCGAAACCCAAGCCCTCAACCCCACCATCGCCTCAGCCCCAAAGGCCTCCTAGGATGCCCTTGTAGGATCCGTATCTCACGCCCTTCTAGAGTTTAGGGTTTAGGGTTTAGGGTTTAGGGCTTAGAGGTTTAGGGGTTTAGGGGTTTAGGGTTTAGGGTTTAGGGTTTAAACCCATTCCAAGCTCCCAGCCAGAACATTATATCAAGCCTGTTACCAACCCCATATCAAGAAGGCCCCGAAACCCGAACCTCAACGCCCCCTAAACCCTAAACCCTAAACCCTAAACCCCAGACCCTAAACCCTGAGGCAAGGGGCTTTGAAAAAGATCAGCGGAGGCCCTGCTATCCAGGCAGCCTGACAGCTGGGTTCTGCGCTCTCACTGGGGACTATAAGAGCTTCAAGAAGGCTTTTGAAAACACATACGACTTTCGATGAGGCTTTATCTGTTTTTGGAAAGGGCGTCATACAGGTTTAGGATCGGGCTTTAGGGCTGTGAGCTATAACCCTAAACCCTAAACCCGAAGCCCTAAACCCTAAACCCTAAACTTTATGAGGCTTTGGGCTTGAATTTAAGGTTAAAAAGGCCGAGGGCCTGATCCGCGTGATGCGGAACTGCAGACTCTCCGGTCGACTGAGGGTTTAGGCGTCAGGACTGGGTAGCCTTCAGGGCTGTTAGGGTCTAGGGTTTAGGGTTCAGGGTTTAGGGTTTAGGGTTTAGGGTTTAGGGTTTAGGGACTCTTTTGGGGGTTTTTTTTGGGCTCCACGGTGTTATGTAGGGTATCTGGGGTTTGGGCCTTCATGGGTTCGAGGGGCTCTAGGGGTTCTTTTGTGCTGTTCCCAAAAAAGTTGAATAAACCCTCAAATTATCTTCTACGGCCTTTGTACAAACCGCCAGTCTCACCGCAAGCTATGGCCCAAAGCCCTAAACCTTAAGCCCCAAACAGAACCGCGTGCATCAAACGGAATGGGGTTCACTTCTTGATGAGAGGGCTCGGAGTCTCTGGGAACATCTTCTAACAGCAGCTTTCCAAAGGAGCCTTCCGCCCCCAAAGCGAAGCAAAGCCTCCGTAAGCCCCGAACGCCCGAAGAAAGCCTGACAGGGGCTCGAATTCTAGAGACACAGAAAACCTCCCATAGAATCCCAGAACCCTGCACTAAAACTCTGCACCCTGACCCTGTAACCCTGAATACCAGACCTTTAAGAGTAGAGTGAACCCCAACCCCTAAACCCTAAACCCTAATCCCGAGCCCTAAACCCCACAGTCGGGTCCCCCGACTTTGGCGAGCGACCGCCATGGTATGCTCATGGCGGGGAACTGGTGTTCTAGCAAGCCCGACGTGTATTGTATGTAGGTATATGCATATGTCTATGTCCATGTGTATGCATACGTGTTTATGAACATGTATATTATATATGTATATGTATACGTAGAATTGTTTTTTATCTTATGGTTATCCCTACTTCTACGTACATTTTCATGTTATTTACATGTTTCGTGTTTGTTGACAACCCCGTGTACTGCCATGATGCAGCATACGCCCAAGTATTGAATTATTGCAAAGTATTCCATTTTCTGTCCAACTACACTTCAACCCGTTTGGTGTGTAGGATAATTGCCCTTTCAGCCTGAAAATCTGGCACAAACACGAGGCTAAACCCTGTTTAAGGTCGACCGAAAACCTCTGTGAATGTCTTGTGGCTGGCCGATTGCTTCGTTGTAGGAGCCTTGACCATAACCCTAAACCCTAAACCCTGGATCCTTGACCAAAATGCCACGGTTTATGGATCATTTTGCATGCTGAGCTGTGCTCATTACAGCCTGGGCTCAGGTTTTGCGTAGGGTCCACGGTGTAAGGCTGCGGAGTGTAAGGTTCCGGGTTCAGGGTTGTGTTTTTTCTAGGGTTTAGGGGTTTAGGGTTTAGGGGTTTCAGGTTGGATGTGCTTAGATTTTGGAAGCTACAGCCCAAGCCTCATCTAACAGTGTCGCCCTTCCACCGAAGTGAAGCAAGGCGAGTCCCCGAATCTCAGGAAAACTTGCGGAATCTGGGGTTTGGGGCTTCGGGCTTAGGGACTTTACGATTTAGGGTTTTGGCCTAGTTCGGATCCAACATAAACCCCAAAACCCTAAACCCTAGACCCTAAACCCTAAACCCTAAACCCCTAAACCCTAAACCCCTAAACCCCAAAACCCTAAACCCCTAAACCCTAAACCCTAAACCGAACGGCTTTGCCTCCTTCTCGGCTTAGGTCCGCTTCGGGAGGACTGCGGCGACTCCCCGAGCCTCCTAAGCCTAAACCCGTGGAAAAAACCTGGGAAAGCCAACCTGTTTTAAAGGAAACTACAGGTGGGGAGTTTAGGGTCTATAGGGCTTCTATAAGGCTTCTATAAGGTATATAGACCTCTGTAGAATCCTTACCATATCCGTTTAGGGTTTAGGGTTTAAGGTTTAGGGTCATATCATTTCTAGAACCCTTCTAGAACCCTGAACCCCAAACCGTAAAACCAGAAAACCCTGAAACCGCAAAACACTAAAACCTTGAAACCCAAAATCCTAGATCCCAAACCCAAAACCCGAAACCCCTAGAACACCCAAACCCTACGAGTACAACGCTACACCCTGAAACCCTAAAACCCTAACACCCTAAGCCCTAACACCCTGACACCCTAAACCAGAAACCCTAAATCCCTAAACCCTAAAGCCCTAAAACCCTAAACCCTTTGAGGGCTCCTTGAAGGGGTTCCTTTGAAGGCCCTGTTTTAAGGGACTTTTAATAAAGAAGGGATCTTTAAGAAGTAAGGCTTTCAGGGCTTGGGGGCCTGGCTCTCTTAGGGTTTAGGGTCTCCGGGTTAAGGCTTTCCGGGAAGGGTTCCTCTAGATTCAGGCGGTCAGGCCTTGTTAGGGTTGAGGGTTTAGGGTTTAGGGCTATCAGGGCTTATTAGGGTTTGGGGTTTAGGGCTTGGGGTTTAGGGTTTAGGGGTCTAGGGCTTAGGGTTTGGAATTTTTAGGGAGGTCTGTGACGTCCATTCTCAGCAAGGAATAGATCATCCCAAACAGGCTGGGCTCCCCATAAAGCGTGATGATCTGAAGACACTCCCTCCTAGTTGTGTCGGTTCCTTCATCTCCTTGTTCAGGCCAAACCCTAAACCCTAAACCCCTAAACCCCTAAACCCTAAACCCCTAAACCCCTAAACCCCTAAACCCTAAAACCCTAAACCCTCAACCCAACAGGGTTAGCCGCGTTGAGTTGTTGACAGCTTCGAGTCCGGAATGGGAAGGAAGGCCGGAAGGGATCTCAGCGTTCAGGGTTCCGGGAGCAGGTTTAGCAGGTTTATGACGGTTTATGTTTAGGGTTTACGGTTTAGGGTTTAGGGGTTAGGGTTTAGGGTTTATGTTCAGGGATCCGGGCGTGGGGGTGAGAGGAGCAAGGAACTGAAGGACATGCTGGGGTCCCCGACCCGAGAGCTTCAAGGGAGTGTACTTACCACGTATTTATTTGATCTCATTTTCGACGCACAGGAGGAGCCTGTGTCACCAGTATATCAATCCCCATGCAGAAAGCCTGCTGCATGATAGTTGTCCACTTTCCGCATGCCACGCACACATCTGCAATCCTCGGAGAGAAGTTACTCAATCCTGGGCCTTACTGCACAGCCCCGATCCCTCACAAACTTCTAGCCGAGCTTGGAAATAGGGCAGGGTGAAGAAGGCATTTTGAGGCTTCACATTGATCAGCCCTGTCTGATCTCAAGCCTCCAGAAAAGTCAGGTAGTTCGATACTTGCTGGCATCATGGTTTTGCGCCTGTTGGGGCACGACGACCATTATGTTGCTGCCCAGGACGTGTATAACCTTCTGCTGCTCAGTCACCACGTTCGTCGGGCGGATTGGGCCCAACGTGTTCTGCCCTTTCTGGGATGGCGCATCTTGCACTCCAATGGGCCTGTGTCTGCAATGAGCTACACAACATGTGTCATCAGTGAGGCTGGACAGCTCGTCCGCTTCGGCCACACTCGAAGTGCTTTTCGTTTTGGGGAGGAAGTTGCTTTACCAGCAGACCTCGGTCCGGTGCTGGCCGTAGCTGCCGCAGGACATCACACCTGTGCCGTGAAGGCGAGTGGCGAGCTGGTTTGCTTCGGACATAACGATTTTGGTCAGTGCGATGTGCCTGTCGACCTCGGTCCGGTGGTGGCCGTGGCTGCCGGACGGTGGCACACCTGTGCCGTGCAGGAGAGTGGCGAGCTGGCTTGCTTCGGAGGGAATGATGATGGCGAGTGCGATGTGCCGCCCGACCTCGGTCCAGTCGTGACCGTGGCTGCCGGATACAAGTACACCTGTGCCGTGAAGGCGAGTGGCGAGCTGGTTTGCTTCGGAAGAAATGCTCAGGGTCAGTGTAATGTGCCTCCCGACCTCGGTCCGGTGGTGGCCGTTGCTGCCGGAGACGAGCACACCTGTGCCGTGAAGGCGAGCGGCGAGCTGGTTTGCTTTGGCTACAATGAAGATGGTCAGTGCGATGTGCCTCCTGATCTCGGTCTGGTCGTGGCCGTGGCTGCCGGAAGTGCTCACACCTGTGCCTTGGAGGCGAGCGGCGAGCTGGTTTGCTTCGGAGACAATGATAGTG